ATTTTTTCACAAAATTTCCTTCATAACAAGTCAAAAATTCATTAAATAAATTATTTCGCAAGTTGAAAAATTACGAAATAAAATTTGATAAATAAATACAAAAATGTAATTTCATAAAAAATCGATAAAAAATACCAAATTAGATTGCGTGACACGATATTTGACAACTTATTTTCAGTAGAGTTTACAAGTGGCTACTGAAAAAGTTGCAAAAATTTAATTTATCGACAAACAGGTGGTCGAAAGTCCGAAAAAATAACAATAAACGTGTCAATCTATCCTGAAAGCTGAATTGCCCCCAAAAAGCTTCTCGCATAATAAATGGTTCTGAATGAGTTCATTACTCTGAAAAAATCGACCGAAAAAAACTTTTGTCTAATCCGACGTCACTGAAAATTTAATAAAGAAAAATTTCGGCCCGCTAGACTTAAACGTTACCATCATACAAGCCCGAAACCATTCATAAAAATGTCATTCCAACCATATGACTCGTACCGTTAATATTTCATGATGAGTCTAACTGAAAACTCAGATTTCAGATTTTCAGACGTCTGTAGGTATGATTATCAATATTTTATTGGGCCATTATGACACAGAAAAAAAGTTTCAGATTGCAACAAAAAATGACCATTGATTGAAATCAACAAAGAAAGAAAAGAGAACTGACGGAATTCAAAATCAATAAATGACAAATGAAAAATATTCGTTTTTCAGCCCTATTGACTCCGATTGATGAATAGGATTTTAATAAAGTGAAATCGATAGTAACAAAGAAAACGGCTTGTGAAAAATGCAATAAAATTCAGAAACACAAAGATTAAAAAAGGAAATGCCAGAAACAATTTCAGCGAAATCCCTCCTGTGTACTACATTTCTATTGCTGAAATATCTGAAATTTGGAGCAATTGAATGAAAATTTCGCCTCGACCCTGACCACAAACATGTAAATTCTTTGCGTGCTGAACAGAAATACCTTAATGGGGGAGATATCAGATTGGCACGGAATAAATCAAATCAGGGATGAGAAAACCCCAAATTCGCTAAATTAATTAGCCTAGGCCTCGTAATGTTGAGTAAAAGAAGAAATCCGAAACGGTCCCATTTCTTCAGGTAGACACACAATTTAAGCGGGAAGATTTATGTATATAGACACAGGTAATGCTTGGAAATGGAAAAGGTTCCCGAGAGACTCGAATCATTTCAATAAATACCACAGCGAATTTTTTTCTGAAATTTTTCAGACAGCGGTTGCAGCAGCACAAAAATGCAATAATTAAAAATCATACCAATTCATATCACAGAAAAATCGCAACGTGTCTTTGAAGGGTTCGACCGGACGCTGAAACCACCCCCGACGAGAACCGACGACACACTAACCACCGTCACAACGAAACGACGATTTTCTCTTAGTCGCGCGCAGCTTTCGTCTGATAAAAGTTCAAGTCATACAGATATCCGAAGTGCTCCTGGATATTTTACCCCCCTTAGGAACAACTCGATCAAGTTATATGATGATATTTAATTACGTTTCTGTTTTGTTGCTGTATTTGCCCAAAAAGCGCCCCTAATTCAATCACTCCGAGCTTTATTTTTATTATGTATTTGCTAGCAGGAATTTTTACTTACTTATTTAAAGTTTTATGACTACTTAAAAGCTTTTTATGGGGAAATAATCTTTCAGGGGAGATTATTTTTAAAAGCTTGGGAGTTTAGAATGCAAGAAATTCAATCAAATCAGTTCAAACAATCGAATAATTAGCCAAAGGCCCCAAACAAATGCAAACAAAGGTTATTTTCCTCTTGAATGTAAAATACGAGTAATTTATTATGCACTGTTTCGTTTAAATTTAACAAAACTTACTAAATAAATACACCCCACATTTTTAAGCTGCACTATTAATGCAAAAAGCTTTATTTTGCAAGTGCTAATATTATGAAATAATTAAGTTTCATAAATCGCTGGAATTTAACAAAACTTATTAAATAAATAATTCACCCAACAAAATTTTTTCAACCGCTATTATTAATTTAAAAACCTTTGTGTTGCAAGTGCAAACATTATGAAATGAAGTTTCACAAATAAATACAAAATGTAATTTAATAAAACTATACCGAATTAAATCAAAATTGAAATGATTTTAGCTTGTTTTATTCATTTTTGGAACAGAGTGTTATTTATTTTGCAAAATTTTATCAAAGCAGAACTCAAAATCACAGAAACAAAAATTCATGTGATTTTGATTGTTTGACTCAATTTTATTGATTCCTGAACTAAAATCTCCGTTTTTTGTGAGATTTTGTTAAAACAAGCCGAAAAATCACTAAGTAGAGTCAAGAATTGCCTTTTTAGAGTATTCTGGCACGTTTTTAAGTCAAAAAACGCAATTATTTGGCAAAATTTCGGCAAATGAAAAGAAAAAAACAAAATTAAGACAAAAATTGGCTCTTTCAGACGTTTAAAAATTTCGTTACAAAATAAACAACAAAATTTGATCAAAACTGTATTTTTTCACGTTTTTCACAACTTAAAGCTAGTTTTTGAACTAAATTCTGTTTTTGTGAGATTACACAAAACTAGTCTAAAAAATCATCCATTTAAGCCAAACATTGCATTATTTTTGCCTTTTTGAAAGCGTTTCAATGGTTTTTTTCACGAAATTTCCTTCATAACAAGTCAAAAATTCATTAAATTAATTATTTCGCATGTTCAAAAATTACGAAATAAACTTTCACAAATAAATACAACAATGTAATTTTGTTATAAAAAAACGCGATATCAAAGC